CGATATATATATATATATATATATATATATATATATATATATATATATATATAATATATATATATATATATATATATATATATATATATATATTAGTGGAATACATATATGCAATGCCATTAAAATGTGACTATTAAATGTTTGTTTCAAAATCCATAAAAAAGGTAGAAAAAGATGGATCTATATGGTGTGGCTATTGTGTTTTGACCTTCTGCAAATGCATCGGTGACCTAGTATCAATAGATTAAGAAAATGATGTACTTATGAACATGGGTTAGTTCAAGAGAAACATGACGTTTCGAAAAGGGAATATAGTTATCTCTGTGAAAAAATATTACAATGTGGAATTAATGCATATTGTAAGAAACTGACATCAGAAAAAATAGAAACTCGTGGCTCTTTGCTAGAAATAATTAGTATCAACACAGAATAATATCAACATTTTCCCAAAGAATAGCAAATGCAGATATATTACTTCATGAAAATATCATTCATCAAATCACTGGAGACAAGTTTAAAACACACTTGTTATTTATACAAACATCATTTAACATCAAAAAGAAAAAAAATGAAAAGAAAATTATTCTCTCTATACTCAAAAAAAGTATTTCAGTCCAATGAATAATGTTTTAATAACAAAAAGGTCAAGACTCATATGAACAATCATAAAACAACCTCTTAAGTCAGTAAAGCCATAAAGATATTGTCTAATATTATGTAAAATATGGCACAAATAAGTAACTTAGCATGTACTGTCGTCTAAGAATGTGTACACTCTTGTAATGCTGTGTAAAAAAAGATTACACTTGACCATCTGTAATACTATACACCCTTGTTGGGCCACAAGAATGGAGGTTCCTGTTCTGCGTCCCGGCGAAAATGGAAACTGACGAGGATATTTTCATTATTCGATATTTATTCCTACAAGGATTTAAAGAGTAAAAACAGCTTTTCAAAGTCATCAAATTATTTTCTTAGTTCTGGTAATCATGACACTTCTCGTACATATTTACTCGTAAAAGTACTCATAAAAATCTCGGCAAGAGAACAGCTTTTCAAAGTCATCAAATCATATTTTAGGGGAATAGTGAAATTTATTGAAAATAACGACTTTTTTGCGGGCGTTGTGGGGAACTTCGATTCTCATGGCCTTAATTCAGTACAGATTCCTATAAATGTACACCTTTGTAGTTATGTACTCATCTTTGCCTTTATGTATACATTTCTCTTAAATCATCACAACACTATTGCAAAACTACTTCTGTAATGATGTGTAAAATCTTTTGCAACGGCTAAATATCTGCAAATGTTTGACTAGTTGGACAAGTGCACAGTACAACATATATATATATGCATCTTTTTCAAAATATACATAGAGATCTGTTCGTTGCTTTCGTGTATCTGCAGCATTACATATTCACATAAACAATTTGTGTTGTTGACAATCATTTATCCTAGAAACTGGTATAATTTCACGAACTATTTTCACACTGGAATTAAAGTTGATGTCTGAAGTCGTATGGCTATCTTATTATTCATAAGCTAAGTCTTCATAAAGCTTTTTAATCACTGCACCATAAACACAATTACATTTTACTATACGAGTATGATAAAATAACATCAAATTGACTCCGTGGCGCGTTCAATTTGTCTCATAAAAAAAAAAGAATTCCATCTCATTAAAGGACCGACACAAATCATAGCACAAACAAACGAATGCCATAAACGGACAAAGGTTTACCAAAGTGAAAAATAAGTTGCATGGTCGATATAAACAAGGCAGTTGTAGGAACCAAGAGTCCACTTGCTAACTCTTAGTCTACCAACCTTATAATGTAATATGAGGCGTATTAAATAGTTGCTTCAATTACTTCTTTCGAGGTAAGTCATCAGTAACTGTGTTCTTTAAAAAATGCAAGACGGAGTTCGTTCCAAGTCAAAAGAAATTATCTAGATATATGTTCCGTTTTTAGAAGTCATATACTTTTATGTCTTATTTCATGAAATGATTATTTACCCAACTGTTTAGAAAATAAGATTTTAAATTATTTTGATGTCAAATGTGCCTGAATTCTTTTACTATTATAATAATTTTACTCCTTTTCCTTCACTTATTTCCTTCCCTCTTCATATCCAGTTGTTTTCATTACAATCACGATCATTTAATCACGGGCATAATATTTTTTTTTTCCGTTGAAAATGCCTCTTTAACATACATTTCAACTTGTTATTCCTACCCTGTACAGCTTCGATTTCTTAAATAAAAACAGGCTATGAGAGGAAATATCTACCATTTCAGTTGAAATACAAATCAAAGGTGGATAAAATAAATACATAAAATATTCAAGGTAAACAAACCAGGAGACAGAAAAAAATATTCACAAATACATAAATTTTTTAAATGAGCGCGTCGATCCTCAGTACCGTTGACTGTTCGATGTCATGCGACTTGGCTCCGTCTTAAACGAGTATTCGGAACCCTTATAATCAGAGGGTTTATACTGGGTGTTGGTGTAATGGATTTCAGGCATGTTAAGCTGTTTGGTCCAGTGGTTTGTCCAGTAAAGCTCTCCTGGCGGCGGTCTCATCTTCTCCACTTCCCGACAAACGAAGACGCAGTAGATCAGGGATCCGAACAACACCAGGAAACCGAATATCAACATGCAAAGGCCGATGTACCTGTTGGATGATAATGATGATGATAATAATGATAATAATGATAATAATAATAATAATAATAATAATAATAATAATAATAATAATAATAATAATAATAATAATAATAATAATAATAATAATAATAATAATATAGTAGTAAGTAGTAGTAATAGTAATATAATAATAATAATAACAATAATAATATGACAATGACAATAATAATATGATAATGTAACAGCAACACAATTAACGATAATAATAATAATAACTGATGATAAACAGTATGGACCACCTAACGAACGAGGTGAATGGGGAAATTTGTAATAATGATACTGAATTATCTTCTCTCCTGTTTTGTTCATGAATAATTTTGCTACTTTTCCTGCCAGCATATTTGCTAGAAACTAATATTATTTCTTTAATCAGTAGTATATTAAAATATATATATGTTATGCCATAATTAATAAATGAATATGCCTGACGAATTCAAGTATTAAGATGAAAAAATCTAGTTTCCAGAACTTTCAACAGAAAATACGTTCACATACACTCACACACACATGCCACACACAAAACCACGCAACCTCTTCTACCCCAACCACTACAAAACAACCCTAAACCCCACCCTACCCTTTGTCACCCCCCCCCCCCCGCACGCCACGTCCCTCCCCACTTCATTCCCCACAATCCCTCCCTTTCATCCTATCTCCAACACCCCTCCCGCCCCACACACACACACCCCCCACACACTTCCTTTCCACGTAAATAATTTCCTCTCCGCCCGTCATACTCCACCTCACCCCACACCGCCCTCCCACACCACACATACATCCTCCCCTTCCCAACCCACATATCACGCACCCCTACTCTAACCTCCCCTCCCCCCATTCCACTTACCCCCTCCTCTGTACTCCAACCTACCCTCCCCCTCCTACACCCCTCTTCCCCACCCTTCAGAGTACTCTTCCCCCTCTCTGAACTTTCTCCCCTTCCCTCATACCCTACCTTACACATACCTCCTTCCTCGCACACCATCCTTACCTCCCCCCTTGCCCCCCCTTCACACCTCCCACCCCCCACCCACCCACACCCATTACCCCACCCTCGACCTCGACTCCTCTGCCACCTCACCCCAACCTCCCCACCCCTATCCTCGACCTCCTTCTCCCACCCATTTCGACCTCCCCCCACTCCTCGACCTCCTCTCCCCCCCATCCCCCCCCCCCTCTCCCCCCACCAACCTCGCACCCTCTCCCCGCCCCACTCCCGCCCTCCCCCCCTTTTCCCGGCCCCCACTCACACCCGCCCTCCTCCCCCCTCCTCGCCCCCCACTCACCCCGCCTTCCTCCCCCCTCCGCCCCCACCCCCTCACACACACGAAGGCCGGGTCGTACAGCTGCAGCACCACCACGAAGCCGAGGGTGATGAGGAGGAGGCCCAGGTTCAGCAGCACCATCAAGCAGCACACGCCCTTGGTGTTGGGGCAGCACGGGTGTGGCGCCGTCATGGTCTCCATCACCAGCTTCCCTCCTCGGGTGGTCTTCGTCTTGACGCTGACGACGTCGCTCCGGCCGCTGCGCCCGCTGCGCCGCTGCTACGTGTAGTGGCTGCGGGAGGGAATCTGCGTGAGTGCGGGCGTGCGCTAGCGTGGGGGAAATGCAGCAGGGGCTGCTGGCGGAAAATTTTGGATGAAATGAACTGATTTGTATATTATATTTTATATATACTTTATATATATTTCACAAAAAATACACACATGCACACAACATAAATTAATATATATACACACACATATAAATACAGACAGACACACACACACACACATATATATATATATATATATATATAATATATATATATATATATATGTGTGTGTGTGTGTGTGTGTGTGTGTGTGTGTGTGTGTGTGTGTGTGTGTGTGTGTGTGTGTGTGTGTGTGTGTGTGTGTGTGTGTGTGTGTGTGTGTGTGTGTGTGCATGTGTGTGTGTGTGTATGCACACACATACACATATATTTACATATATACACACATATATAATGTATGTATATGTATGTACACACACACACACACACATGTGTGTGTGTGTGTGTGTGTGTAATCTTCTCACGAAGCTGTTTAATCTTGCAAATATCCAAAGTCTCTTTCCACATACCAGAGTACATAAGGTGTCCCCTTGTTTCTTCATTACTAAAGCATTGTATGACCATACGCATCAAAGTTCGTGATAATTCAAAACCTTTCAGCATTTTCCATTATGAAACTTCCGCAGTCAAGAGATCTAGAGTATAGAATCTGCGACAGCTTTAATTTCCACACCTAATATACTATACGAGTGACACAT